GCAGAAAAGAGCAAAGACGGAAAATGTGAAACACATGCACGTGCAGAGGGGAGGGAAGAGGCGGACCACGACCCGAGCACACCCTCCGCGCCCCACGAGGGGGGGGGGGGGCAGGACAGCCCCCGTTATCCAGCATCCCTGTGAGCCATGCAGTCGTTGGCCATGGCATGATCCATGTAGCGGTCGAGCGGAATGAAGAAATCCGCAGCCCACTCATGGAGCTCCCAATCGACACTCGACCCGTGACAGGATGGGAAGGCCAGGTGGATGGCAGAAAGCATAGCGGAGGCGAGCAAGCGACAAAGAGGCTCAGGGTAAACCTTGGACTGGGCCGTCGTCCACTGACGCCTGTCACCTAGTCCCTATGGGCGCACCCCCCACACCTTCCCCTCCTCGGCTTGCAGTCAACCAGCCCACGGAGAGCAGAGCAATGAACCACGAGAAGGCGAGTGGGTTTGAGGGAAGGGCCGAGAAGTCTGGGAAAAGCGTACATCGATGAACACAACACTGCATACACATGCGCTTGCGGAGGTCCGCTTGGATTTCTGGGGTCGGCGCTGGGCCCGCCTCCATGGCAGGTTGAGCGCGCCAGGGGTGGCGCCGCGCCAGAAGCGCCACCAAGGGACCCCATCGCATGTACAAATAATTGCACTGAACTCCCGGAAAAGTGCCAATCTAATGTTTGATACCCTGGGCCGTTTGCTCATGGGCAAGAACATGTGATGGCCCCAGAAGCCCAGAGACGGCGACCAAAACTCAGGACAGCCTTCTCCTCAGGACCTCCAAAGGAACAAACAGACACCGATACCGCTACTCCCTGAGCTTCTCCAAGGGCACCGTTTGGCCAGGAGTTTGGGGAGAATGCAGACGTGGCGGCGAGGGTTCTCCAGGACAATTAACGGTGTCGGTACCTGTTCCCTCTCGAAGCTCCTGTCTGCCAAGGCGAGAAGTGTGGGAAGGGAGCGCGGCGGCTCCCTGTCGATCGTCTGGAAGGCCTCCCGCAGCCGGGACACCTCCAGCGTGCTGTAGCCAGCCCGGGCTCGGACCTGATCGATGGCCACCTGCTGCTGGCGCTCTGCCCACCCCACCCACTTCCGCCTTCCAAAACCATCCTCTCTCCATCTTCCCATTCCCTCCCTTCCTCATGCTCATCCTCCCTCCTTTGGTTTCTGCGCCTGCACCCCTCACGACAGACAATTCGCTGAACTTCGTGAGGTCGGCCCCGAAGCAAATCCTTGCCCGCATCCCGACAATCAATGGACTCATGTGCTAATGAGACGTTGCCGTTGGGCGGCTGGAGCGCTCTCACCCGGTAACAACACACGGTTGCAACCCATGCCGTGAGCGGTTGGAGCGCTCGAGCTAGATAAAAATGCACGGCTGGAACTCACGCCGTGCGCGGCTGGAGCGCTCGCGCTCGGTAAGAGTGCATGGCCGGAGCTCGCGCCGCGGGCGCCTGGAGCGCTCCCGTTCGGCAGAAGAGCGTGGCGGGAGCCCACGCCGCGAGCGGCTGGAGCGCTCGCGCGGGGCCAACACGCGCGGCTGGAGCCCACGCCGTGGGCGGCTGGAACGCTCTCGCTGAGCTGGAGCCCACACCGTGGGTGGCTGGAACACTCGCGCGGGGTACAAATTCAAGGCTGGAGCCGACACCGTCGGCGGCTGGAACACTCTTCCTCGTGAAAGCGGAGGGCTGGAACCACCCCTCCCTGTCGGCATAGGCGTCTGGAGCGCTTCCCTCGCACAAGTTGAAAGCTGGAACCTCACCTGGCTTGGGGTTTTCAAGAATAGCAAAAAATCGAGAAGGGGGCGGGACAAGGGCAGATGTCGTAGCATTGTATCCAAGTCTCGCTCCCAAAGCGGGCCAGTCCGCGCGAACGTCTGTCGGTCAGTCGGTCCGTCGGTCGTCGTCGTCGGTCGTTGTCGTCTCGGTTCGTCAGTCAGTTGGTCAGTCGGTCCGGTCGTCGTCGGTCGTCGTCTCGGTCGGTCAGTCGGTCGGTCGATCGGCCGTCGTCGTTCCTCGTCGTTTCGGTCGGTCGGTCGGTCGTTCGTTCGGACCGGTCGTCGTCGGTCGGTCGGTCGATCGTCGTCGCAGGTCGTCGTCTCGGTCGTCCGTCGTCGGTCCAAAGCCAGAATCCGCCCACGCCATGGCGCGCTGTGAAAGCGCACCTCTGGAGCCAACAAGCTGTTATAAGGTTGAGAACAAGACGTTTGACCCATGATGATGATGATGCTGATGATGCTGATGATGCTGATGATGCTGACGATGCTGATGATGATGATGATGCTGATGATGCTGCTGATGATGATGATGATGATGATGATGATGATGATGATGATGATGATGATGATGATGATGATGGGAGGGGAGAGGGGGGAGGAGGAGAGGAGGAGGTGGGACGCGGGGCGATGTCTCTGCAAAACGAGGACCCAACACCACAGGATGGTTGGGAAAGATAGTAAATCCCCCAAACAAAGGTTGCATTTCGAATTTGTAGTACTGTTCCGCTGTAGTTGGTTGGTTGGCATGCTGACTTTCCGCAACGCTGCCTCCTTGTGTAACATGTGTGGGTAACCATGTCTAATATTTGACAAGTTGCCGCCCGCTGCCGCTGCCGCGGCCATGCCGCCTCGTTGCTGCCTTGTGCGCTGCATGTTGACAATTCGAAAATGCATCTCACACCCATCCTCTGACAAGAAGCGGGGGGGGGCACGGGGCGGGAAGGGAAATGCGCGTGGAGGGACGCGCTGCAACTCATCATGGCGCGGCTGGAGCACAGCGCGAGCAAGAGAAAAGCCCGATGCACTTGGAAAGCAGCACAGGCCGACCCGCCGCAAGCAAGGACCGGCGGACGAAACGTTGCGCACTACATACAGCTCGCCCCGAAGTCCAAACGGCCGCGCGGCAACAACGAGGCGGCTGAACTACAGAGAAGAATGGGAAGACAGAACGACCCGAGCAACGAGCCGAAGAGCGCCACAAAGGTGGAGGAGGGACAGAGTCATAAAAGCATGAACCACACAAACTAGAACCTCTTAAGGACGAACCGCTGCACAAGAAACGGCAGGATTATGTTTTCGACGCGGAGATCCCCGTAGGTGCATCGATTGGCTCATGTTCCTGGTCCTCCCCATCCACGCTGAGCTTCAGTGGCCAGGCTGGAAAGAAGCACGCATTCCTTTCAAAAGGCAGCGTTTCGCTCGGACGTCCCAACAAAATGGGCGCCACCGGGCAAATATCCTACCCCCTGGCGGCTCCCCCTTGTGGAGCCCATGCGCGATGCCTGCTATGTCACGGCATTCATGGGTGAGCAAGTCTGAATGTGGGTGAGTCTGAGTGTGAATGAGTCTGCGTGTGAGTGGGTCTGTGCGTGTCAGTGAGCCTCGTTGTGAATGAATATTAATGCGATCGAATGTGAGTGCGGAAAGGCGTGAATGCAAGTGGTTTCTGAAAATAGGTGAATATAATGAACGCGGGCGTGAAGGTTCCTACCGTGAGATGGGGGAGGACGGAGGAATCGGAAATGAGGAGGCGCGAACACGACGCGGCGCAAAATAACCTAAGACTCAAGACAAGCGTAATGCATCCCGCAACATCCTCCACGAGACGCGCAAATACCTGCACAAGGATCCGTTATGACAGTCGGACTCTTGCTCTGCGCGCGTTCGGCGGAAGCTGGCGGCACTCAAACTGGCCCAGCATGCTTGGACATCGCTGTGAGTTTTGACGTCGTCACACTTGCATGCAATTCGCCCATGCTGTCCAACGCACCCTTTTGGAAACTTTGATTTCGGTTGAAACGTCCTCACGATTCGCTCTTGAAGTAGCCACGGCATGCAGGTGACGCTGACGGTGGCCATTGTACCGAGGATCGGCTGGATGAGTGGGTCGCTCTTACTCTTTCTCTCTTTCTCTCTCTCTCTCTCTCTCTATCGTTCTCTCCATCTCTCTCTCTCCCGGCCTCTGTATGAATGTACACTGCGATATCTATGTTATCTATGTGAAACTAGTTCTGCATGTATGTATCTTTCTCACTCACCCTCTCTCTCTCTTGTTCGACTCTTTCGCTGTTCGATCTGCTTGTGCAGATGTATCAATGTGTTATTGTTTTCTCATCTCTCTCTGTATATGTATCAGGTTATCTCTCCCTCTTCCTCCCCAATATATATGTATATAGATATGTGTAAATGTATATATGTATATATGTCCCGTTCTCTAGCTCGTAACTTACTCTCTCTATCTCTCTTGCGGTATCTCTATGCCATTTTTTTGTATCGCGCTCCCTCTCTCTGTTTCGCTCTCTCTCTCTCTCACTCTGTCATCTCTCTCTCTCTCTCTCTCTCTTACTTTTCTGTCCTTTCTCTCTCTCTTTGTCCTTCTCTCTATCTCTCGCCATGCGCGCTGCGTGCCCTGCACCGCGCCGCCTGGCTGACCCATTTTCCTCGTGTCTCCAATTCCCTCCTCTCCGCCCCCTCCCTGCTCCACCTCCTCCCGTTCCTTCACTACCCCGTCTTCCTCCGTCTCAAGCGACGGCCGGCGGAGGCGACGACGAGAGCCGCGACCGCCGCCTTGCGCCACTGGCGGAAGAACTCCTGCGGATAGAAGAGTTGGAGGAGGAGGATGAGGAAGCGGGGGGGAGGAGAACGTATGGGAAGATGAGGAGGGGACCCAGGAGAGGGGGCGGAGGGGGGTGAGGATGAACATGAGGAGGGGGCGGAGGAGGGGGAGGAGGGGGTGGAGGAGGAGGAGGAATAAGGAGGAAGAAAGGGAGGATGGCTGGGCGCTCGGCGGGGACCTGGTCTGGCCAGGGCGCATGCTTCACACCACACACTCTTCACCCGTCAGTGATCCCACTGTACACGTCAGGGATCTGGGAAATTCATGCCGCACTTCGGCGGAAGGCCTCGCCTAAGCCGAGACAACACGCTGGCGCCTGCCTTCGTCGGAGTGCGACTTGGTGGGCACTCCTTTCCGGGGAGCTGGGAGTTCTGTACCATAAACCTCCCGCAGACTCGGCAAAACAGGACACCACGCAGCACCGCGAGGTCGTGGGACGAGTGCGCACGGGGGGCCCCAGGGTGCGCGATCACGGCCTCACGTTCCGACCCGCACATTATCTGTCGCACCCCCACGCACTGACCAGGGAAGAAGTCGGAAACCTTTCCCCTCACGGCCTCAAAAAGGCGGCCTCATACGATGCATTTATATCTCGAATTCACAAGCCTGACACTGTGCCCTGCCGCCTCGAGTCTACATCTCCGCGTGGCGAGAGAGGAGGGGGCCCTCGGCCGAGGAGGAGGACGCCCGACTCTATCTGACACGAGGCGGCGGCACGTAAGATTAACTTCGCGATTGACATCCAGCAGGCGAGACAGGACCTTTCCCGTCATGTCGTCTACCTCATTCAAGACAGTCACATGGTCCTGCGGGACCTCTCCTAAGGCGGCAGCCTCCCCAGCAAAAAAATCAGCAACAAAATTCAGGGAAAACTCAACCCTAGAGATACCCCAAACCTCACGAGTCCCCGCAGTCGAGCGGGCCTTAGTCCACAACACCTCCACAGAGCCTTCACGAGCATCCAGGAGCGTCCAGAGCTGGCCCCAGAGGTCGAGCATAGGCGACGTAGCAGAGATAGAAGACCTGTCCTTACGGAGACCACGCACCAAGGGAAGATAACCCGAGTAGGCCACAATATCTCCCACCGTGCGTCTGAGCAGCATAATCATAGCATACATTTCGGCCCTGGGGCTCGACTGAGCCACCGTGGGGAGGGTGCCCATGAGGATAGCGTCACAGGCCAGGTCCTCGCTCTGGAGACTGTCCTCATCGAAACGAACCACAGACCATCCACAGCGCCTGAGCCTCCAATCAGAAGCAAAAATACCCCCAGAGCCGTCCAAACCATATCGGCCTCCACGCACCTCCTGGTCCCCCACGAAGAGGCCCCAAGACTTCACAATCTCCACGGGCGGCGGAATGGGCGCGACAGCGGCCTCCAAAGGCGGGGGCCCACGTGTCCAGGACGCACTCCTGACATGCTCGGGCTGATTCGCCATCTCGACGAGGCCAAGCGAGCGATGCATCGCGACGCTGACGATCGATGCATTGGCCGAGCATTCCCAGCAGCGGTGGAGGCTGGTTTCACGAGCAGCCCCGCACCTAGGACAGATGCCGTCAGTTAGATACCCCGCATCTTGAAGCCGAGCTTCAGGCCAGGTACCTGCCGTAACAATACACACAAGAAATGCGGCATCAGCGTGCTCTCCATTCTTGATCATCCGAGCGTGCATTCTTCGGAGAACCGTGAAATCAGCACCTCCATCTAAACCTTCTCCACAGAAATGCTGAGCCGCTTTGCAAGCATGTCCCAGAGCAACAGTATGCCGCACAGCGGCGCGGAGATGAAACATGAAGTCGCGCGCCTCCACGCTGAGCACTCCACAAGGCGTGCCCCACTGAGTGGGTGAGGTGGGCGACCAGTCCAAATCGAGCAGGGTGCAGATCGTGGCCGCGATGGGGCCCGACACCACACGCCAGCGTCGCTGAGGCGGAAGAGCGACGAGCCGTGCCCGATGTAGCTCCCACGCCTTGCGCACACCTTGCCGTTGTCCTGGGGACAAGGCACGCCATACACCAGCAATAGCGGATAACTGTTCAGTACGCAGCCGATATTCAGGATCCTGGCTCAGGGGGTTCATCAGGCTGAGGACAGTCGAGGTACATGCACCTTGACTCCAGTACCCTGAACACCTAGCAGACTGCGATCGGAAACTCTGCAGATCGGCCGCGGTCAACCCTTACACTGAGTGACCCCACGATCCGACACTGAGCACACCAGGCTTAAAGATCTTGCGGGATCGACCGCACAGGCGAGCGAGATAGGCCAGCTTACGAGAGCGCTTGAAAGCGGTCCGCTGGCGCAGCTTGATCTTCCATGCACATCTCCTCCTCCCCGCTGTGGTCATGACCCCGGATCCTTCACCTGCCCTTTGAATGAGATAGAGACACCCATTTCATCAAACTTAACAGACAACTCCTTGGCCAAAGCAGTCGACGATGCAACCGCAGCAGACTTAGGCGATATTAAACAGCCAAGTGCACCCGCATCTCGGCAGAACAGAGCGGCTGCAGCAGGCAGAGCAGAGACGATATACTTGCGCGTGCCTCGCATGTACTGCGTAATGTCATCGATGTATGATCGAATCGGCACCACTGGGAGACGACTGTGTGCACGCTCAAGCACTCCATGCAAATATGTCTTGACCCACGGAACCGACTGCGAACATCCAGCGAGAATAGACTTGCCAGTTCCAATGACCTCCGAGACCACCCCCTCCACCTCAAGCATTCTAAGGCTAGTGTGCACAAGCATGCCGAAGTAGAGGAGATGAGGAGGATAATCAACCTTCAGGGCCAGCTGCACCAGGAGGGCGGGCACCACGGAGTCAAACAACTTCTCCATGTCCCAATGCAGAGAGGCCGACTCAAAATGCAAAGCACCTGCAACTTCGTGGCAAACTTCGCGCAGAAGAGCAGCTTGCAACGCTGAGGACTTACGTACTGCACTATCCCAGAAGTCCGTGTGCTCTGCCGTCCATTCATGGATGAGATCACCACGCATACGTGCATACATGCGGTACAAAGTAGAACACTTGCTGATCGCGCGCTCGTCGTGCACAGACTTGGGCAGGAGAGCCATGATATTCAAGAGACACTGCTGCGGGAACGTGAGGGCCTGCTCACGCATATTGAACAGGGCTGCCAGACACTGGATCGCTTGCCAAGGTAACTGCAGGAAGGCCCTGGGAGACCATTGGTCGACGCCTACAGCCGTGCCACCAGCAAAACACGTCGCCGCCTGCAGGACATCCCGAGGCTCAAACTCTGGCAACTCCAGGAGGAAAGTCTGGGCATGGGACCTGAGCTCACCGAGGGTATCATTGAGGACCTGCAAATGCTCCTTCGTGGGGTCCACCAGCGAGCCCAGAAATCACGCCTATACTTCATCAGGTCGTTAGGGGTTTGTCGGATGCCGTCAGGCGCGACCAGGTACTCCACCGCCACCTTATCATCAGTCTTCAACCAATTATGAACCTTCCTCGCTCCTCCTGGTAACGCATCCTTCAACCACTTCCTGATCCCAGCAGAATTAGAGGCCTTAACCTTGCCCCACGCGAGCTTACATACCTCGGCGGCCTTATCCACCAGGCGGTGCACGAGATCAGGCGAGTCGGGGAGGCTGGTGAGGTCAGCCGTCCAGTCGCTAGCATCAGCAGGGGAGCAGAGAGGCTCGATATTCAGGTAAACGTAGTTAGCCTGCCCAGCGAGAAAGGAAGCCAAACGCCTAGCCTGCGCCAAGGTAGCGTTCCCACTGAGTGCTTTCCACAGTCCGAACAGCCGAGAATACACCATGGACCAGAAACAGAGATGCGGAACGTTGAAGGCCTGCTTGCTGGGCCCACGCCTCCGAATCGTGCCCGGAAGCCTGGAGACAGCACTACCCCGTCCCAGGAGACGCTCAGGTTCGTCAACCACCGCACATCCCCGAGACAGGAAAATCATTTCCGAGGTCCTCGACCACAAGGCGTAGTCCTCCGAAAGCCCGTCAGAAACATGCTGCAAGGTATGCTCTAGGGTAGCTTCCATGACATCAGGAGAGGTGTGTGCCAGTCAAACCCACTTGCACAGGCCATATTCAAATAGCACGGCCACAGATGGTCAGGCCCAGCGGCAACAAGAAGCGCGCCAGCCCGACCTCTACGTTGGACCACCTGCTCTAAAACGTCCGCGTCGACCGAGACATGCAGGCATGCGTGCGTTTTGAACGGGGATTCCAACAACGTCCGAACATTCACGAAGGGGGCCACATCCCTGGAACACACAGCATAGTCAATCATAGTCATACCCACGTCACACGTGTAGTCAACATCGTCAGGAACTCGAACCCTGGACCAGGTGATCTCCAGGAAACCCGACTCCATCAACAAATCAGGCGACATATTGAAATCACCGAGCAGGACCCAGGGAACACCCAAGGTGGTAGTGAATTCCGCGATTTCTCTCAGTCGAGACAGGTTCTCGCCCGTCGCCCCAATGGACGACGCCAGGTACACAACACCAATCGCCATGGAAATCCCGTGAAGCCTGAACTCCAGGAAGAACCAGCACGTGCCCGAACCAACATTCACAGCCTGGAGCCCAGAGAGAAAACGCTGGCAGGACAGACCCTTTTGACAGAAAGCTGCAACACCCCCATGAGTCCCACCTCCTGGAGAGTCGAGAGCGGCCTGGATGAACGGGTTCCAACCCATTACTCTTGCATCCTTCTTGGCCTTGTGAACACCATCTTGCCGAAGGTGGTGTTCAACGATGAACATGGCGTCCATCTCAGAAATCCTGGAAGAGAGGAAACCTTTGGTGACATCAGACCAGCTGGTAACGTTGCAAAACCTGATATCGATGCCATCCTGCTTGCCACGTCGGCGCCTCGGACGAGGCGGGGCCGCCTCGCTAAAGGCGGGGCGGGGCATCGCCGTGCGCTGCTGCGGCCGCAGGCTGCGGCGGCTGCCCTCCAGGCGCCGCCGCTGCCGCT